CCCAAGGCTGAAAAGTTAGAGTTGGTTCATACTGATGTATGGGGACCATCTCTAGTTCCATCTCTTGCAGGCTCACTATATTATATCACCTTCATCGATGATTATACAAGGAATGTGTGGGTTTGTTTTCTGAAGAAGAAATCAGAAGTCTTTGATACCTTCAGAAAATGGAAGGTTATGGTGGAAAATGAGACTGGTTTGAAAGTCAAGCGGTTGAGGTCTGACAATGGAAGAGAGTACAGAAATAGTAGATTCAGAGATTTCTGCACAAACAATGGGATCAAGATGGAGACAACAGTTCCCATGACACCACAGTAGAATGGCGTAGCAGAGCGCATGAACGAAACTATGAATGAACGTGCAAGAAGCATGAGAATACATGCCAGATTGCCCAAATTTCTATGGGTTGAAGCTATCAACACTGCAGCTTACTTGATCAACCATGGGCCCTCAGTTCCCTTGGATGGTGGAATACCAGAGGAAGTTTGGAGTAAGAAAGAAATAAACCTTTAACACTTAAGAGTGTTTGATTGTATTTCTTATGTACACATAAATTCTGCTGAAAGAAGTAAACTTGATACTAAGTCCAACAAATGTGTCTTTGTTGGTTATGGTGGTGATGAGTTCGGTTACCGGTTTTGGGACTACGAAAATCAAAAAATCATCAGAAGCAGAGATGTCATTTTCAATGAGAATGTGATGTACAAAGACAGGTCAACCATAGAATCAAGTAGCTCCAATACCGAAGTTGAAACAAAGGAATTTGTTGAGTTCGAGGACATTTTTGGAAATGATGTTCAGATCAGTCCTGAAACAGCTCAAGAAGAACCAGGCACACCAGAACTGAGACGCTCATTCAGAATTCCTAAACCAACCCAACGTTATTCGCCTTCTTTGCACTACTTGTTACTGACTGACAATGGTGAACCAGAGTGCTATGATGAAGCAATGCAGATGGAGGATTCAGTCAAGTGGGATTCTTCCATGAAAGATGAAATGGACTCACTTATGTCAAATCAGACGTGGGAATTAGCTGAATTACCACCAGGCAAGAAAGTGCTCCATAACAAGTGGATTTACAGGATCAAAGAAGAGAACGATGGGAGAAACGCTATAAAGCAAGATTAGTTGTCAAAGGTTTTCAGCAAAAAGAAGGTTTTGACTACAATGAAGTTTTCTCTCCAGTCGTGAAACTGTCTATAATTAGACTGGTGTTGAAGATTGTAGCTACAGAAAATCTACATCTTGAGCAGTTATATGTAAAGACAACTTTCCTTCATGGTGATTTGGAGGAAGAAATCTATATGAGGCATCCATAAGGTTTCATAGAGGCATGCAAGAAAAACATGGTATGCAGGTTGAAGAAGAGCTTGTATGGTGTAAAACAAGCTCCTAGACAGTGGTACAAGAAGTTCGATAGCTACATGAGTAGCAGTGGTTTTACCAGATGTCAAGCAGATTATTGTTGCTACATCAAGAGGTTCGATAACAACTTCATTATTTTATTATTGTACGTTGATGACATGCTCGTTGCAGGCTCAGACATGCAAGAAATTATAAACTTGAAGCAAAAATTGTCAAAGCATTTTTCTATGAAGGATCTGGGCGCTGCAAAGCATATTCTTGGGATGAGGATTAAGAGAGACACAAAGTCGAGGACTTTGATGTTATCACAGGCTGAGTAAATCAACAAAGTACTCTCCAGGTTTAACATACAAGATGCTAAACCAGTAAGTACACCTTTAGATGTTCATTTTAGACTCTCCAAAGAACAGTCACCAAAGACAGAGGAAGAACGTGCACACATGGTGAAGATGTCGTATGCCTCAGCAATTGGAAGTCTAATATATGCCATGATTTGTACTAGACCATATATTACTCATGCAGTGGGAGCTGTTAGCAGGTACATGAATAATCCGGGCAAGGTACACTGGGAAGCAGTCAAATGGATCCTCAGATATCTGCGGGGTACCACAAATAAATCACTTTGTTTCAAAGATGGAGATATAATACTGACAGGCTATGTAGATGTTGACTTAGCCGAAAATGTTGACATCAGAAGAAGCACTATAGGGTATGTCTATACTCTAGGAGGAAATGCAGTGAGTTGGGTTTCTCAACTACAGAAGATAGTTGCTCTCTCCACAACTGAAGCAGAATATGTCGTTGTTACGGAAGCCAGCAAGGATATGGTTTGGCTCCAAAGTTTCTTGGAAGAGTTAGGCAATAAACAAGAAAACAATGTATTGTATTGCGACAGTCAAAGTGATATCCATCTAGCAAAGAATCCGTCTTTTCATTCCAGAACGAAGCACATACAATTGCGATATCATTTTATCTGGTCTCTTCTGGAAGATATGATTTTGAAACTTGAAAAGATTAGCGGAGCTCAAAATCCGAAAGACATATTAATAAAGACGGTGACTACGGACAAACTGAAACTGAAGTTGTGTTCAGTTTCAGTTGATATGCTAGACTAACAAGACTAAAAATATTATTGCATTAATCGAGGTGTGAAGACAGATTAAAATCAGTCTTCAAGTGGGAGATTGTTGAAAATAAAAGTCAACAAAGGGGGCACCGCACAACCTAATATTTTTTCAACAAAAGGGGTTGAAAATAAGAGCATCGAAATGCATGAATTCGGTGGAACCAATTTTTTAATTAAAATATTTTTGGGTTAATTACATTTTAGCTACTGCATATTTTAGGGTATTTACAAGATAAATCCTTAAGCTTCAACTATAAATACCCTAGCCCATTTAGTTTCAAAATTATCCCAAATCATTCTAGCTCTCTCTCAAGTGTGTTTTGTAAACACTTGTAAATTTTCTCTTCTTAGTAAAAGATCTGCAGCAGTCCGGAGACGTAGGCAAAATTGGCTGAACTCCGTTATTAATTTCGGGTATTATTTTTCCGCTTTTATTTCGCATTCTCACTAATCTGGTTATAGGAAAATTACTCGTACCATGTTTATTTCCCAAAAGTTCGGTCTCCAGTAATTCGATATACCGGAGAGTGGAGTTCAAAAGACCAAAAACGGTAAACGTAAAAGCAACAGCGTCGAAACGATCTGAGTCTTATAGTCACGATTTCGACGGAAAGTTAATGGACGAGAGTATGATCGAGTTGAGAAAGCGAATTCAAGAGATGAAGATGGCGGAGAAGAGTTACGGAATACTGCGGCATTGGATGGAGTGGGAGAAACAATACAAGAGGGAGAAGTACGACCTGGATGTTTGCGAAGCCATTGGGAGTTTGCAATCGAAGGTGATGGAGACGAGGCCTGGCGTTGCTTTGTGGATGGGAGTTCTTCTGTTTAGCTTGCCCACTTCAATGACGGCAATTTTGTTTCATGTCATGCCTAATTGGCTAGGATAAATTTACCATTGTTTATATTTGATATATTTATCTATTGAATTAACACTCACTTATAATATTTTTATTAAAATAAATAAATAAATTATAATCTTAAAGTGTCTTTTCCTCTCACACCATTATTTAGAAGGGGAATAGATGAACAAGAGATTCTTTTAATAATATTGAGGAGTCGTATTGATCTTAGATCAAGTTCGTCAGAAGATTTGTATAATTATTCACCATACAAAAGATAATATGTTTTCAACCCTCTTTAAAAAAAATCTCATAATCTTTCACTAAAATGCCTGTTGACAGGGGCAGACCTTATAGTTATCCTGGATATCTCAGGCAACCCCTCAAAATTATCTACTTAGTGTTAATTTTTCTAATTTTTTTAATTAATACAAGTGTCACCCCTAATATTGTGTGTAAATGTTGGTCTTTATTATAGGAAAAAATTAATATCATATTTAAAATTAAAAAAAGATCAAACCCATGAATCAAGCACCTATTTTCAGTTTTGTGAGAATTGGGATACGCCTGAATTTTTGTGCAACCCTGAATTTTTGTCCTGGATCCGCCTCTGCATGTTGAATGATTTTTTTATCATGATTTCATTGACGGTATTGACAACTCATTTAGCACCAATCTCTACAACTCAATTAAGCGTAATGTCGAACTCCGACAAAATGACAGAAAATGGATTTAGGAAAAAAGAATTCCCAAAATAATTCAATTCACGGATTATCTTCTAATATAGGATGAATGCTACAATAATCATGTGAAGACGTAAAGTGTTTTATTCGTCTTCAAAATATCTTAGGATTGTACAACTTCTTTTCATTTGAGTTCTACAAATGAAAAGACGCAAAGTAATTTATGTTTTTTCTACCGGAAATAATGCAATCACATAGTATTTTTCATATTTTCATTGACACTATAACAATAATTCTAATTTTAAAAATAATATGATGAATGTTTTATATTAAAAAATTATTTTTTTCATAATCTTATATAAGCGAGGAAGTCGTCAACCACATTGTAATTTTGTTAATAAGTTGTTTGTACTGCCAATATGCTTTGTGAAACCACGCTCTCATTTATCATTTTCCTGCGGAAACAAGAAAAATACTTATTTTATGAATTCCATTTATGTTCAGAATCCACATTGCTTATTGGGGATTCGACCACTGTACCGCCGTCCCAACATTTTTTATGACTACTCTAATATTCCGATCTAATACATATTTATATTATATAATATAAAAATACATCCTATCAAGTATATTACTATTTTTTTATTAAAAAAAAGACCTTATAGAATATGCTTTTCAGTAGACATTCCCAATTACTGTCATATTATAGATTATGAAACTGTTAGAAGTGATAATCAAAATTAAGGAGATTATTATTTGATGGAATTAAATTAAAATTGTTGTGTTAATAAAATAAATGGACTATATTTTATAATTTTTTCAATTAAATTGAGTTTATAGAATTTGAATCTAACCATTAATGATTTTATATTATCATGACAATCGCATGCATCCTAAATCCTTTCTTGAGAAACACACTCTTCTCATCACCTTCGTCAATGGATAGAAGATAAAGAGGAATAAATAAATAAAAAATCTATCCCCGTATTTGAACAATGTGAAATCCTACTTGTTTTTTGTAGTGATTCCAAGCTCACCGGCAACAATAACAGTAGTAGCCATGTCAAGAAACATTCCATGTTCAACAACACCAGCAATCCTAAGAATAGCATCGCTCGACACCCGCAAATCCCCCATCTCTTTCTTCAAATACAAATCCACAATATAATTCCCATTATCAGTCACAAATGGCTCCCCTTTACAATCATTCCTCAGCTGAGCTACGCAACCCGAATCCTCGAACATTTCTCGGAGTTTATTTGCGGTGAATTTCCAGCAAAACGGGACGACTTCGACCGGCATGGCTAAACCACTGCCGCCCAAATGCTTAACCAATTTGGATTCGTCGACGATGCAGACGAATTTCTTACAAGCTCCTTCCACCATTTTTCCTCGTAAAAGTGACCCGCCTCGGCCTTTTACGAGGTTGAGATACGGGTCGACTTCGTCGGCGCCGTCGATGGCTAAGTCGATGATGGGGTGGTTGTCGAGATCCGAGAGCGGGATGCCTAGTGAGAGAGCTTGTTCTTGTGTTTTCTTAGAAGTGGGTATCCCAACGATGTTTTTGAGCTTGCCTAGATGGAGCAACTCGCCGATTCGATCCACGGCGTGTTTGGCTGTTGAACCGGTGCCGAGACCCAGAATCATGCCGGATTCGACGAACTCGACGGCTTTGTAGGCGGCGATTTTCTTCAACTCGTCTTGGGTTAGGATGACGGGTGGTGATAGAGGAGGCGGCATAGCCAGAACCTCCATTGATGAAGCTTTCTCAGACCAAGCAATTGCCATTTTTTTTGTGGTTTAATGAGTAATAAAGAAAAAGAAGAAGAAACAGAGCAGAAGAGGCGGGATAAGTGGGATTGTTTGGTTCTACGGAATATGTAATGAACATGGATTGGTTCTTATAAAGAGGGGTGGAGAGAAGGTTTAAGAATAAAATAAAATAACGTGGTTTTGGTTTTGTCAGGACATGGCTTATTGAAGATCGAGCTGTGGGACACGAACTGGGTGGACAATGGCAAAGGAACTCCGCTCGTTAAGTCAAGACTCACGCCATATCATCCAATTAAGGGATATATAAGGAAAATATTCTAATATAAGATTAAGAAAAGATTTTATCTAAAATGTTAATATTTTTTAAAATTTTTGATAGGATGCTATTTAAAATATTATTTTTATATCAGAAATATTAATATCGGACGTTATTTAAAATATTATTTTTCTACCGGAAATGTTAATATCATAAATACTTATTTTAGGTAGTGAAATTAACATTTATAGTAGAAAAAATAACATTATAAGTCGCGTTCTACCGAAAATGTTAAAAAAAATATTAACATTTTCGGTAACGTCTTACTTTAGCCTTATATTAAGTTGTCGTACAACAGAACTATCCTCCAATTAATTCTATTACAAATTTTATTTCAATTTTTCTCTCTTTCGTAAATCTAAAAATATCGAATATTTTTCCTAATAAAATAATATAACATAGTATTTGTTTTAAATTTTTTAATTATTAAGAATAAATTTACGCATACTATTCAAATTTATTTTAAAATTAATATATTTAAATAGGTAAAGATTTAATTATGTAGTATAAATTTTTTAGTTTTATATATTTTTAAGATTGTTTGATGAAGAAAAATCAAATATTGAGATTAACAGTAGAAAATAAGAAGATATTTACTGGAAATAAAAACAAAGTTACTCTCAGCATTTGATTTAAAGTTTTATAGTAGGTGTAAGTGCATCCTAACCCTATTTAAATATATTTAACTTTATATTATCTTATATATTAGACCGTTGATAACATAATAAAATTTATATTTATTCTTCAGAAAATAATGCATGGAGGGTAGAGGTGTAAATGAACGTAGTATTTAGTGAGTTGTTTGTAAAATATTTATTTATTAAGTTAAATAAATGAGTCAAGCCTTTTCATAAACTCATTTACTTTTTATTTTTTTATTTTTTAAATATTTGTGAATGTATAGATTAAACTAAATGTTAGTAAAATTTGGATTTTAAACTATAAAGCTTAAGGAGTTAGCACTAGTGACATAAATTTACCATTTTTTGGTTTGCAAATGAATATAATCGAGAAACATTAAATGAATATGTTTGTTAACATATAAACAAACATTAAACGAACAAATATGAATATCTTCAACAATAAATAAACGTATATGAACACGATATTAGAAATTTAAATAAATATAAACTTAAAATAAATGATTTTAAAAATAAATAAATAAACACAAATATAAAATATAATGTTATTAGTTCAAATCTTCATTTACAACGATAATAGAGGGTAATGTTGCAATCGAATATCAATGAAGATACCCAACTTGAACGGTCCATAAATAAACATTAAATAAATATGTTCGCAAACAGTAAATGAACAAATATAAATAACTGCAGCAATAGATAAATATATATAAACACGATATTAAAAATTTAAATAAATATAAATTAAAAATAAACATTTTAAAAAGTAAACCAGCAAACACAAATATAAAATATAATGTTATTAGTTCAAATCTTCATTTACACCAGGTAATGTTGCAATATCGAGTATCGATGAAGGTACGCAACTTGAACGGTCCATAAACAAAGTTAGATTTATTATTCAATTTTATAAGCTAAGCTAAGCTAAAGGTGGGCATCTTCTTGGGAAGCTCAATAAGAATATATTAAAGATCCCAGCTATGAACTTGGAGTTTCAAAGCCGACTTAAACAAGAACAAATTGCAAGCCATGTGATATGTCCTCCATTGCCCTTTCCAATTACTGCAACCACTGGAATCTCTATATTTTTATATCAAATATTTTCTCTCACTCGTATTGTTATTCCACTTCTCTTTTACAACTATTACAATTCAAGGTCTCAACTCCCACTATTCGTTTGCCCTTCCGATGATGCATTGAAAATGAGTGGTAGTTCTGGATCTCTCTCTCTATATATATTTTCTTTCACTCGTATTGATCATCAATGTCACTGGGAATGGTAATTACATAATGATCAATGAAAGGCCCCATCAATATAGTACTTTGGTCACTAAAATCCGTGAACTGCTCGAACTTGAATGGATCACAAAGATATCACATATATGTCATGAGCAGAATATGGTTGTAGATAGATTGGCTGCTTTGAGCCGATGACCCCCATTTTTGCTATTATTTACTTAGAGTTACCTTTGAAATTATCTTTCACGTTGCTGCGAGTTCTTCAAACCTCCAATTAACCCGTTTCTAATTGTTATACTAAAAAAAAAAGATTTGTCGAGGACCAAATGTGATACTTAAACTTTTAAATAAATTCTACTTCTAAATTAATCGATGATCAGTCTGCAAAACTCATTTAAATAAATCTAAACGTGATTAATTCTTTTTATTATGAACATATAATTCGATTTAGCCGGTCTGAAAACAAATATTATCTGGGCGTTGTCCAAACTGAACAACTCTCTACTTGTATAGTTCATCTCTTCTGACCCAATATTTTTCTAGAAAAAATAGTACTATTTGTTTATTTTTTTTTATCAAATTTTAAATTAAAATCAAATGAAATGAAATTTGATTACTGTATTGTCTTGGACAATGTCAAGCACAAGACCTGGTCACCTGCATCGAGGCCAAGCCATCAGGCCAAGCAAGGGGTAGTTTAACTAGAAAATGCGGGCTGCTAATCCCAGGAACCTTCTTCTTCCTCTGCCACCAGAATCAAAACAGCAATGAGCTCCCATATACAAAAAACCAAAAATACCCTAGTATAAAAGATCCAATAACTAAAGGGTAGGGCCCGAAACACTGCGAAGTTGAACTCTGCAGTCAATAAAGAAAACCCAAAGCTTAATTTTCACAGGAAAAAAAAAAACAGAGAAAAGAAAAGAAGCTCCTTTACTTGAACAAAAAACGTTCCCTTTCCTGTAAGTTTCTTCCTCCCCCCCCCCTTTTCTTGTTATGATTTATGCTTGGTAAAGTACCCTTTCTTTTTGGCTTCTCTGGGTACTTTCCCCTTCTTTATTCTGATTAACTTTAGAATGTTTTTTGATGCAAATTCTTCAATGGGTTCATGCCAATTCGTTTGCTTTTTTGGGATTTTCTTTGTCCTTTTTTTGGCTTTTAATTTCTCCAGCTTCCTCCTCTACTTTAACTTTTTGAAAAAGATATTTGAAGTTTTAACTTCTATATTTATCTGTGCTTCAATATATTGTGCTTTTGTTGCTGTACCATTCATTTCTGTTCAATCTTTTTTCCTTTTGGTTTTAACTTTTAATGGTTGTACCATTCATTTCTGGGAAAATTTTCCTATCAGCTATTCTATGATTTGGCTTTTGAATTGTGTTTAATGATTCCTAGTTTTTACACACAGGAGGAAGTAAACAAGACAACTTGATCAAAACTATTCTTGTGTGTTCTTCTGTGCATCTGAATATGGGGGATCATTTAGTGTTACTAGTGGACCGGTTGTTGACTGAATCCACATTGGAAGCTGCAATCGAAAGCAGGAACCAATCTTTGCATGCCACAGCATTGGCATTTGATGACACAAAGGTATTCAACCCTTCTCCGAAGCCGAAATCATCGACCCCGGGGGAAATCGTTGAGTGTTGGATATGTCAGGATGAGGATGAAGATTCAAATATGGAGACCCCTTGTTCTTGTTCTGGCAGCTTGAAGGTTAGATAAACTTGAAACCAACAATTATTTCGTTGTGAATGATTGCAGCGTTGTCACTGCATGCGATTAGTCTTTTCGCTTTAGTGCTACGAAACAGAAGTGAGAATTTGCTTGTTCTGTAAATTGGATCTCTCTTTCAAGCTTCTTATTATAGTTATATATCTTAGGCTTATGCATAAACATATAGCACCTTACTTCTATCGAATTCGCACTTTCGTGTTGCACCTTGCACATCATCGTAATGTAAGGGCTCTAACACCTAGAGTGCACCTTGAGCTCTCGACAATAACTTGTTTCCAATCTTCAGTGAATGATGTGATGAATTTTATGTAGATTTTGCTGGTTGGGAGTTGGAATATATCATCAGTTTCGATTCCCTAGTAATTTTGAAGTTATTGTATAAATTTGAGGAGGCATAACTATTTTGTGGGTTAATACTCTTTTGTTTTTATTTCAGTATGCTCATCGCAGATGTATACAGAGATGGTGCAATGAGAAGGGCAACATTACCTGTGAAATATGCCTTCAGGTTATTTATTTTTACATTTCGTGACTTGTTCGAATGTGGTAGCGTGCGAGTTTTTTTTATTGGTATAGTTGTATCTATTGCATTATGTTAGACCGAACTTATGTGATCATAAATCTTCTGCATTTCAGCAATTCAAGCCAGGCTATACTGCGCCACCTCCCTTGTTTCATATTGGGCATATTCCGATGAATTTCAGGTAACTTTTGTTTAAAGTATGGCTGTTTAGGTATTAAGTACCCCTAGCTCGGTTAAGAGATCTTAAAAGTGTTTCATTTTTCTCTGCAAATTTTATCAGGGGGAACTGGCAGATTTCTAGGAGGGAGTTGAACAATTCTCGCTTCATAGCAGTGGTCTCGACAGATCATAGCTTACTGGATTCTGGCTACGATGAATATTTAGCTTCAACTACAAGAAGCTTGATAGGTTACCGTACCGTTGCTATAATCGTAAGTTCGTCTATGTTTTGACTTCTTACAACATTGGAACACAGACATCGTATACCATTTCGAAGGAGAAATACACAGATTTTCTAATTTATCTTGCTTTTTGCCTGCAGTTTATGCTTCTGGTTTTTCGACATGTTCTTCCTTCCATACTAAATGTAAGCGACGACTACACTTTCCCGTTATTTACGGTAAGCCATTCCCCCCATGTATTTGAAGAATATAAGAAAATTCTCTACTTTCAGACTATAAACTTACCTCTTCTTTTGTTTTACAGGTATTACTTTGGACTGCCGGAATCATCCTGCCAATCTATGTCATGGTTAAAGTAATGACTGCCCTCCGTCGTCATGTATGTCATCACCGCAGGCAGCAACAGGAGACTCCAAATTCATCAGTTAATCAATCAGATGAAGAAAATGAAATTCCAACAGTGCAAGATCAGCCTCATGCAGTTAACATACATTCAATGCCAATATAGATAAATTGAACACACCGATCTTTCTATCTTTAGTAGGCGAAAAGAGTCGAGAGCTAATTTTGCCGATTGCGAAAGATAGAAACCGTATACATTACATAATGATTCTTTTATGATTATAATAACGAAATATTTTTTTAAGTATTACAAATAGAGATGGTTACAAGTCGAGACGGGATTTTGACCTTATTTGAACTTGATCCAAGTATAATATTGCTCCACCCATCATGTGACTCAATCCAAATTTAGATAAGTTACATCTGATTCTAAATTCAATTTAACTTTTAAAAAAATCTTGGTCATTCATAATTGTACATAGTCAAACGTTAAAACACGTGAAAAATAATCAATTAATTGAATATTTTCTTAAACACATATTATAACATCACAAAAGTAGATCAATTTCGAAAAACAAGTATTTCAAAGACAAAATATGACAACTAATGTTTAATTTTCGGAATGCAAATGGATCAGAGCTGAGGTATGGGATGACAAGGTAATAATGACATGTATTAACATCATAGGCTGAGACGAACACTAATTATTTGCAGCCGTTGGATCAGGGATGCACTCTTACAGATCTTAAAATCAAACTTGACATCTCGGCATTGCATAGAATCGGACATTAGCATGTACTGTCCATGTAATTTACCAGCAACTCTTGAACCATGCCTCGATCGGTCATCTTCCCTGCAGCACCGTATATGGGTGCCAGGCCTCCGCTTATCGGCCCTGGATTTGCTTTCACCTGAAACAAAGCACTTACAAGATTATTTCCCTGATGGCTGATGAACTATTTGATTGTTAATTGGCGGCAAAGACGACTTTTGTGTTTTCATTTAAAAGGAAACGGAAATGCATACAGTTTGTACGGCTTCCCTCAAATCCTGGAGGAAGGTATCGACAACCGGTACATGTTGAAGAGTGACACAGATATGAAGGCTGGGTTCAATCGCGTAAAAAAAGAAAGAATCTTAGTCTCCGATAATAGACATTACTACAAAGGTTAAATTTCGAAATAGATTCCAACTCGAACACAAGTAATACACAATACACCACTGGTATTCTGTGGAAGAAGCTAAAATCCGCAATCAAAGGGAATTCGATCGAACGCAGAATTAAGGAAAGAATGAGGTAGAGTAGTGCTCACCTGTTGGGCCTATGCAATTAGGGATGGGCATTGGACACGAACCCGACGGGTTTCGACCCAACCCGATCCGATGGGGTCGGTTTTTTAAAAAAAATTGTTCGGGTAAAAAATATCCGACCCGACCCAAATATATATATATAATTATCTTATATATTTATGAATAATTATAATAATACCCTTCTAGATATAATTTTTTTCAATTAAGTCACTGTTTTTATTGAATAAAAATAATATTTTTTAATTATTTCGGGTCGGTGAAATTTTATTTTGGTCAGATCAGGTCTCTGGTGGAGGATCATTTGTTCTCGGGTCGGGTTGGGTGGACCAAAAACCCGACCCATGCCCATCCCTATCTGCAATGCATTTAAATGCCAACCTTTGCCAGACATGATATCATTGACTAGAGATGAACATTTGTCGGATTTCAATCCGATCCGGATCGGTTTTTATCCGATCCGGTTTTTTCCCATAGAAAAAAAACCGGTTTATAAAATAACCGATTCGGTTTTTAACCGGTTTGGAGGGCCGGATATCCTAACCGGTGTAACCGGTTTCGGTTTTAAAAAAACCGATTTTTTTAAAAACCCGGTTATAAAAAAACCGATTTTAATATTCCAGATTGCTCATAGGGAACCGATTCCCCCCAAGGGGGTACCGATTCCTCACTGAATGGTTTGGCTCCGAGATTTCCAGAATGCTCGGAGGGAACCGATTCCCCCATAGGGGGTACCGATTCCCCCTATTCAACGGTCGAAATATTTGAATTTTACACTTAGGGAACCGATTCCCTATGAGAGGAAACCGATTCCCTATGAGAGGGTACCGATTCCCCCACGCTCCAAGCATTTTTATTAAATGTTTTCACACTTAAACGGCTATATTATCTTCATTAATTATCACTAACGTTCAGAATTGATTCAAGGTGTATTTAAGCAAGCTTAGAAGCCATTGATCAAAGACAAGAAACATCAAGCAACTAGAATCAAGAGAGAATCAAAGAGAAAGCATCAAACCTCAAGTTCGATAAATTCAAATACTTAATTGAAATACTTAATTAACTCAACATAATTGAAATACTTAAATACTTCCAAGTTTGATAAATTCAAATACTTAAAAACTTCAAGTTCGATAATTGAAACAAAGTTTACGATAATTGAAATAAAGTTATAAAATAAACTACATTGTCATCTCTTCTTCATCATCTTCGCCTTCTTCGTTTGGAGGGGATATTCCAAGTTCGACTTCTTCAATGTGTAAGTTTGCTTCCAAATCGGCATCAATTGCATCTTCTAGGGTGGTGATATGTTGCTTACGAGCCGCTCCATCCAAATAATCCTTTAAACAAATGCATACTTCCACCGACTCGGGACTTAGTCTTGATATCCGTTGCAATATAACCCTGCCACTAACAGAAAAACCGGATTCCGAAGCTACCGTAGAAGCTTGGACGGTTAGTAAATCACGGGCCATGGCGGCTAGAATCGGAAATTGTGCTTCCTTTTCTTTCCACCAAGCCAAAATATCCAAACTTTCAAACTCTTCAAATGTCATTTTTGATAGAAAATCGCATGACATGTAATTTCCCAACTCGCTACTTGGGGTGGTAGTACGTGATCGTTTGGATTGGGAATTTACAAGAGTGTTAAAAAGATTCAAATTTATGTTACTTGGACGTCTACTAGATGATTCCGCATTCATTCTCATTTGATCGTGTATTACACTACTTGATCCGTATTTAGTTAAATAAATTGCAAACATGTCTCGAAAACATTTGTTAAAATAATTTATTTGGTTTTGGACAAAGTTGGGTTCATCATCGGTTAGATTAAAAGCAAACGCAATTTGTTCAATTAGTGTTTCAACCCCACCAACATTTAACGTTGGGTTTAAAGCGGTGGCACAAGTAAAAATGGGGGGAATCTCCTTAAAATATTTTAAAAGTTTTTCCTTCATTGCAAAGCCAATTTCTTGAAAAACTTCGGTTTCAAATTCAAAGTCATTTAGTCGGGTAGCCAACAAAAATATTTGATTAATAACCAACAGGCTAGTAGGGTAATAAACACCGGATAAAAAAGTTGTTGCATTTTTAAAAACCTCAAGCAAATCGGTTATTTTGGCTATAGTTTCCCAACTCGAATCCGGATAAATGTTTGGGACATGACCCCTCTCGAAAAGCCGATCGTGAAATGTTTGCAATGTTTCCCTTTGTCTTAAGGCAGTATGCATCATCATCTAAGTTGAGTTCCAACGAGTTGGACAATCCAAATTAGGACCCAAAGCTTTTTTATTAACGGACTTTCAAAACCGTTTATAATCATTTAGTCTTTTGTTGTTGTTACAAAGAACCGATTTTATCATTGTTTTAAATTCTAATCTAATCGGCTCAATAACCTCCAAACCGGCTTGCACGGATAAATTAATTATGTGTGCAACGCAACGGGTATGAAAAAACGCACCGTCTAAAATCGGTGAAAGTAATATTTTCAATCTTGGAACCGCGTTTGTATTATTCGATGCATTATCAAAGGATATAGAAAAAACTTTATTTTCTAATTTATAAAGACAAATTACTCTTTTTAAAAGTGTAAATAAATTAGCACCGGTATGCGGCTCACCGAATAATTCAAACGCGATTGTTCTTTTCATCATTTGCCAATTATCTTGATCTAACCAATGTGACGTAACGGCTAAAAAAGAATTTCCGGTATTATGAGGGGAACTCCAAACGTCACATGTAAGCGACACACCATAATGGTGTTCTTGGAATCCTAAAATCATTTTTTCCCTCGCCGTACGCCACATTTTTATAGCATCTCTTCTAAGGGTAGTACGACTTACTTGAGTATAACGTGGTTGCATTAGTTGTTGAATTGTTATCGTGAAATCTTCATCATCAAAGTGGTCGAACGGCAATACTTTTGTAATCAAGAACTTTGTAAACGCTTCTCGTAATTTTTCGTTGTCGTAAACAAAAACACCACATTGCGGTGTAAGATTCGATTGACTAGGATCTGATCTTAAGCGAAGTGTCTTGCATGATTTTGTCAAATGGTTCTTCAACGTTGTGTTTCCTTCCGATGCAAGAAACTTTAGACAAAGTTTACAACGCGCCCTCCTCGAGCCATTTGACATCTCACATAAATCGTAGTGATCCCAAATGTCTTTGTTTCGAGTGTGTTCGATCACTCTCACGACTTCAAGGTTTCCCCCGACGGAAGATTCAACCGTGTTACTCATGATGAACAAAAAATTACAAAAATAAGATTTGAGAGATGTTTAAGTGTTGTGTAATAAGATTTGAGAAATTTGTAATCAACCAAATACATCCCCAACCTATTTATACATGTTTAGGGTGGTAAAATGGTAATTTTTTAAAGAAAAAAATGGTCAAAAACGGTCACAAAACCCCCTCAACGGCTATATTAACGGCTAGTTTTTTAAACCCAGACCGGTTTTTTTTTCGGATAAAAACCGGTTTTTTTCAAACCGGTTTTTTATCCGGTAAAAAAACCGGTCTAGGTTTTTTTCTCCAAACCGGTTAAAATAACCGGTTTAAAAAAATCCGATCCGGTTAAAAAAAACCGGTTTTTCCCAAATCCGGTTTCGGATATTTTTTTCGTAAAATCGGATATTCGAATTTTTTGTGCACCCCTATCATTGACTTCAAATATGTCTAGAACAGAAGATCCAAATGGCACAATTGTCATGTCCGGCTTTCCAATGATAAACAACTCCGGAATCTCCTTTATCCTGCAATTAAAGTGGTGGTCATTCTATGTATCTCAAAATTAAGGAATTCAGTAGAAAAAAGTGAAACAAATTCGAACCCTTTCTCGATCATCTTTGATGCTTCCATGATTTTTCTTGTATTCTACAGGTAACCTATGGATTGTTAGGAAAAGA